AACATTATATATAATAGCGACATTATAAATTATGTCTCCACAAGAATGTCCCTACAAAAATACAAAACGTAACTGAAACCGACAATGCGTTTAATGGTTTTTCAATACCACACCTAGGCCTTTTCGTTTGTTCTCTAATAAATAATAATAATAAATCCCGAAAATCAGAATTTCTTTTTATTTTGCCCATTATATTAAAGATTAATTAAATCTTACCCGATGCCTTACTGCCGCGCCTTCCCAGCTTCAGTTGCCGAGGTTGGTTCCCCTTGCCTACCTTGCCTACTCCCACACCTTTATCGTCATCATCAGCGGGTTTACATCGTTTTTTTCCCTTCGAGTTCGTCAGTTCCTTGTCTTCACCTTCCCCTTCACGGACTCTGGGTCTCTTCATTTTATTTTCTAAAAAAAAAAAAATTTTTTCTTTTAAGAAAACAATTCCAACTGTGATATATTCTCATGAAAATAAAACTTAAATGAACTTTTACCTTGAGTCCTGCTTCGTTTCCCTAATTTCAATTGGAGGGTTGGTTGTCCCTGTCTGACCCTTGCAACTTTATCTTCTTTATCAACAGGCTTTTGTCGTTTTCTTCCTACGCTCTTCGGTTGCTCTTCGTTATTTTCTTCGCACACTCTCTTTCTCCTCTTACCTTTTGCCTCTTTCTTTTCGAGCTCAGCCTCAACGAGCTCGGCCCATTCATCAGACGCCCCTTGAATATGAACGTCTATCACATCTTTCCAATTATTTGAAGTCACTTCAGTTGTATTAATGAATATTACTTTTCCACCTCTGCTGTGAACCGCTTTAGAAAAATCCTTGACCAAACTCTTACATCCGGAGACCTTGAGCGAAGTTCCCATAATCAATAGACAGTCAGCCTTACGTTGGTCGTGGTAAGCGATCCGACCAATTTCTTCTCCGACTGTCCTTTCAAAATCATTGTATAGTAATATATTGGGTCTGGGAAGCATTGCAATTCTGGTCTTTCGAATTCTTTTACCAGATATTCTTGCCTTTTCCGCTATTACACAAAAAAACAAATTCGTTAAACATTCACAAACACCAACTATTCTTTATAACTAAAAAAGAAAAAAAGAATTCTTTAGAGTTAGTGACATAGACATTTACCTTGTTCCATACAATATTGACATTCTGGAGGACTGCCGTCTTTAAATGCATTAATAACATCGGATGAAAATGGGAATGTTTTATGACATATATTACACCATACATTGTCGATTTCACCATGTAATTTGATAATACGCTCGGAAGACCGTGTATTATGGCAATCATTTACGGGGAGACCAGCACGCTCTTCCAAGTTATCTACATTTTGCGAATATACTCGCAAAAGCTTATTCATATTATTGAGCTTTGCGAAATGTCGATGGGTGGCCGTTACTCTCGCATTAATAACTTGTTGTTTTAACAAAGCCATAAATTTATAAAACGTCGTTATTGATCTTGATGAAGAAAAAATTCTAGACCCATCAAATAAATCGCGACCCGAGGAGAAAACTCCAGGATATTGTTTCATTATCTCTGCGAACAGACCATCAGGGGAACGAAAATCCTAAATACATAATTGAATTAAAATAATATCTGTAATTCAAACTTATACTTTTCATATATTAAAGGAAGGCAAATTTAATTTTTAAGTTTTACTTTAAAAAAAGCGCGTTATTCCTTTCCAAGGCCCCTAAACAGCTTGGTAAGCTGAATTAAATTTACTTACAGGTATGCCACCTGACACACTTATTCCAGCTCCTGCGATTACAACGACGTTCTTTGCATTTTTGATGTGTTGTATAATTTCCAGTAACCGCGGTTTATTCTGCTGGTTTAAAAGCAACTTCTCCATGGTATTAAGAAAACCTAGAATGTCCCTTTTTTTTTTTTTTTTTTTTTTTTCCTTTCCCTTCTTTTTTGATACAAAACCTATACGTGTTTAAAAGTATTTGTTGATAATACGTCTTTTTAGACGTTTCAAAATTTTCTATAGGCAAGGAAATATTTTATAAAGGTCACGATATTTCGTTGAGAAGAAAAAAAAAATAGCCGTCAAAAACTTTACTTATGATACACAAGACGTGATGTTGATCGTTAAGTACGTTTTATAACCAAAGGAGCATGGAGCATGGGCAAAAAAATTTCCTTTATAAGTCAAAATTTTGGACGATTCAATATATTGTACTTCATGATGAATTCAATAATGACATTTTGAATCCAAATGAAATTTCCATTTTTAATTCATATGATCACATGAATGGTAAAGTTAGTATTTGTTAGTTGTACAATTCTCTATATTTGATATATTTGATTATCGACAAATTTATCGAGATAATTGAGAAAATTAACCCTATTTTTAAATTCATTCTTTTTTTACTAATAATAAAAAAAAATGTATGCAATGTCATCTGGCCGCTCATTATGATTTGACATGATGATGCAGCATTTCGAAATTAGTCGCCGTTTTGTCATCATTGTCATCGATTTTCTTTCCGTTAACGTTAACGAGTCAAAGCAAAGCATCAGAATTTTTTTTTTTTTTTTTTTTTTTTTTTCGTACCTTTAAATATTCTTTCGATCGATTTTATCGATTTAAAAAAATAATTTTTTGTGAATCACGTGAATGATGATTTTTTTTGAACCATTTGATCTGACCCAATCAAAGAATACCCAAAAGGCTCAAACATGTGACATAAATACTAAATTCCATTTTTATTTTTTTTTTCCTCCTCTTTCGATAAGGTCTATTGACTCGCCAACATGGTAAGCTTTTATAATCACATTTATAGACAAGTGAAATCATTAATAATTATCGATAATGATAAAGGAGAAATGAAGGGGAATGAAATAGAATTTTAAAGAATTAAAAAAAAATTGTCGAGATATAGAAATTTTGGATCTTTGTAAAATTTATCATCCATCATAATTTAATCTTTATCCTTCAGAAACAATTCTTTTATAATGAAATTCGAATGATCAATTAATTGAATTAGATCGAAGCATGACTGTTATCATATTTTCAAATGTATTAATGATTCAATTCCTTTAATAGCCATTCGTTAAGGCGGTAAAGAACAAGGGTAACAATTGATTCAGATATTTCTTTTGATTTCTCTTCTATCAATCAATAATTCAATTATTTTAAATTATTTTTTTAAATAATCATAGCTTACTTCAAGCGATATCAAGTCAAATATCGTAGAAGACGCGGTAGGTTTAATTACAAATGTGAATGCTTTTACGTGTAATCTAACAAATTTTTTTTTTTTTGATCTAATTTTTAAAATGATGATTACATAGTTCATCTGAATCTTTTTTTTTTATTTTGTTGATCAATGAATCTTTCGCTCCTATCTGACCACAAATCCGATCAAAAAAAAAATTGTTTTTTTTTTTTTTACTTATCAAACAACTTTTCTTAATTTATTATACCTTATTGACTTCTTTTTTTTAAAATTAATTTTTTTTTGGTAATCACAGAGGGCAAGACCGATTATTATGCTCGTAAAAGACTTGTCGTACAAGCTAAGAATAAATATAATTCTCCGAAATATCGACTGGTAGTTCGTTTCACCAATACGGACGTTATTATTCAAATAATTTATGCAAAACTTGAGGGAGATTTTGTCTTAACGGCAGCTTATGCACATGAGTTACCAAGATTTGGTATTAAAGTTGGTTTGACAAATTGGGCCGCAAGTAAGTAAAAGTAATAGGACCATCAATTGTCTTTTCATCCTTGCTAACAACTCACATACTTATAAGATTATACATTTTTAATGTTTTTTAGCGTACGCCACAGGTTTACTTGCAGCTCGAAGAGTTCTCACTAAACTCGGATTGGCTGACCAGTATCAAGGTGTCACGGAACCAGATGGTAAAGTGGCACCCATTGAAGAACTCGAAGATGCTCCACGTCCTTTTAAAGCTTTCTTGGATGTAGGTTTAAAACGTACATCTACAGGCTCTAAAGTGTTTGCAGCTCTTAAAGGTGCAAGTGATGGTGGTATTTTCATTCCTCATTCCGAAAATCGCTTCCCTGGCTACGATGCTGAATCAAAATCACTTGATGCTGAAACCCTCCGTAAATATATTTACGGGGGTCATGTGGCCGATTATATGCGACTTTTACAGGAGGAAGATGATGATAAATATAGGCGACAATTTTCCAAGTTTATTGAAGCTGGTATCAATGCAGATGGCCTTGAAGAACTTTATAAATGTACTCACGCAAAGATTCGTGCAGATCCTAAATATAAACCCAAAGATAAGAAGGGTGATTACAAAATTTTCAAGAAGGTAAAATTCGAACTTTAATCATTCTTAATGAAAAGATTAAATTTTATGATTAATTTTATAATTAATTTTATAACGCTAATTTTTCTCTCTCCCCTCAGTACAAGAAATATCGATTGAATTTGAAACAGAGAAGAAACAAAGTTGAACAAAAGATCGAAGCTTTCAAGCGCGCTCAAGAAAATGATGATGATGAATAAAAATATTATTTAATTAGTTAAAAGGTTAATTAATTCATTAATAAATTAAGATATTGAGAGGCTGTAAGCTTGTTATGATGAAACAAAAAAAAAAAATTGTATATTGAATTTAATGTTGGTGAGATTTTATATCGTGAAGTAAAAATTAGAAAATTTTGTTAGCCAAATGCATAATAAAATCATTAAAAAATTTATTCAAACTTTGAAAATTATATCCTACAATGTAAATATTCCATATTTAACAATTAAGGATAATTTAGGATTGAAAGTTTTAAAAAGACAGTTTTGGGTTTTCTTGCTAGTATTACCTTCTCCCTCTAGAGGTAATTTATTATTATTTAAATCCCATTTCGCAACATATAAATAATTATATTTGGTAAAGTCGCTGAAATTTGTTAAAACGTTAAAGGAATCGCGTCGCTATAATCAACTCTTTTGTTTTTTTTGTTCCTTTTAGCTCACAAATTTCATCTCTCAACTTTTTAATAAGTTCTTCACTTTCTTTTGTCTGTTTTTGAAGTTCCATAATATGCTCATGTGCTATAATATAAATATCATTTCATTAATATAATAAATAGATGGTAAGATGATGAATAATTTAATAAAACCTTTTAACTTACCTCTCTTTAATAAAAACAATTTGCTAACATTTTTTATGGATGTGACATCATCAGGATTTTTACCATCATCGTAACTCGGCATAGGTAAAATTTTTTTCAATTCATCAAAACTTTGTTTCAACGAATCCCTACGCTTTTGTTCAGCTACCCTACATGTTAAACGTCGAGTTAAAATCGAATTTACGCCCGATGGATATAAAATACCTAGAGACCTTTAGGAGAAAAAAAAAAAAAAATATGTTAAATTTATCATCATCTAAATCGAAAGTTCTTCATCATCAACGATATCCTTACTCAGCTGTCCCCTCCATAATACTATGATAATTTGATTTATTGGCTAATTGTTCAGCAACTTCATCTGGTGAAACACCAGGTAATCTAGGTTTAAGGTTTGGACTTATTGCTGGCTTCAATGTATGTGAAATCGAAGGACCAATGGCCAAAGGAGATGATATAATTGGATTTGATCGAATCGATCTTCTTCCTGATGTTCCATTCGTTGATGATGATGAAAGGTTTGAAGTGGTGATGATTGGAGCTAGCTTATCCGAAAACGAAGGTGATGATGATTGTGTAGTCATTATATCAGGTACAAAGTGATTTTTAACATTCCAATTTGGAATATTGCCTTGTGAAATCATATCCTTGTTCATATAAGATGATGTAAACTCGAATAACGAGAACTTTGAACAATTAGGCAATACATTCGGCGAACCTGTCATGAAGTTTGGGTCGTTCATTTTGTTTACCGTTGTTCATTTGTACCTGTGAAATTTTCTAGATCGCGAGCAAGAGTGTCTATTATTATTATTATTCGAGGAAGTTTTTTTTTTGTCGATTTTGACGGTATTGTCACAGGATTTGAAGAGAATTTACATAGATTGATTTATAAGCAAAGAAATAATGGAGATCTTAAACATTTTTATCTATAACCAGATTAATTTCCGTTTTTTTTTTTTTTTTTTTTTTAAAAAAAAAAAAAACATCTCAGAAAATAACAAAATTTTACGAAAAAAAATTGCGAAGAAAAAAAAAAAATTTTTTTTTTTGTTTTATTTTATTTAAAAGAATTCATATATTGACAAAATTTAACATTTTTTTAAATAATTAATAAATGCTATATAAAAATATAAACTTTTTTTCCAAATTCCCAAAACCGCTAGTAATTATAAAATTTTTTTTTTTTTTTTTTTGGACTGTCAGACTGTGCTTCCGCCCTCGCCATATAACTTGGAATAGCTATAGGCAAGTTCATCAACTGGAAATCAAATTATCCCCTAGAAAACCTCCGAAGAAGAAATCAAGAAAAAATTTGATAAACCACACATCCCTTTACGGGCAGAGCACTATGATTCATCATCCAGCCTAAACGTTGTGTCTAAGTTGGAAAACAAAGACGGGTTGACTGACTATATACAGATCCTGTAAAGTACAGTCGATATGGAAAATAATAAAGTGTGAGACTTGACCTTTTATTAGAAATGATTAAATTATGGGATTCTCATTTAAAAACTAAGCTACACAGGAAAATCCTTTCATTCATAATGCCGGTTATAAAATTGATACCATTTATCGATTCCATTGCGTGCTTGCCAGGATTTTCCACAATTGATAAAATTGATAAGTAATCATTTACATATTATTACCATACTAAGCAGGTCTGGATTATTAATAATTCATGTGAGAAAAGATATAAATATTAAGGAAAAATAAAAAATAAAAAATGGGATAATAAATACAATTTGAAATCATGGCTATGCTATTTCGTAACATTTTCCATCATTCGAAATCTATCAATGCAATAAATCACCATCGAATAACAAATTTGTTGACTCAAAAACCTTTAATCACACAATTCACAAAAGTAACAGGTATTTAAAAAATGTTTTATCTTGAAATTTCTTTATTATCTTTGTCAACGAACGAAAAAAAAAATATATATATATATATAATACCATTTAATTATAATAGGTTTTCATACTTCCGTCAAGGGTAATAATGCAAGCACGACGACTTTACCACAAAATTCCTTTGAATTTCCACCTTCACTGGAACATCAGAAAAATTTACCAAATTTACTCCAAAGAAAAAAGAAAAGCTCAAATCCTCCCATGAGTTTTCCATGTATAGATCAATTAACAACTCGTACCAGATCGTTAGATGGAGGACCTGAACCGGCTTATGAAAAGGTTGTTTCCGGATATTCCCTCTTTCATCATAATGAACCTTTCTTGTGTGATTATGGTGGTGTTTTACCTAAACTTGATATCGCATATGAAACATGGGGTGAATTAAATGAAAAGAAAGATAACGCGATTTTAATTCAAACTGGATTATCCGGAAGCAGTCATGCTAAAAGTCATGAAAAAAATGTTCACCCCGGTTGGTGGGAACAATTTATCGGTCCTGGACGTTCGATCGACACCAATAAATTTTTCGTCATATGTACAAATGTGATTGGTGGATGTTATGGATCAACGGGTCCATCATCCATTGATCCATCTGATGGTGAAAAATATGCGACGAGATTTCCTATTTTGTCAATTTTTGATATGGTTCGATCTCAATTTTTATTATTAGATCATTTAGGTATCGATAAATTACATGCAAGTGTTGGTGCAAGCATGGGAGGAATGCAATCTTTGGCTTCCGCTAGGTTATACCCCGATCGTGTATCACGTTTGATCTGCATTTCTTCATGTGCTCGATCACACCCATATTCTATCGCTTTAAGGCATACACAACGACAAGTTTTAATGGCGGATCCAAATTGGAATAAAGGTTTCTATTATAATTCAATACCACCACACATTGGAATGAAATTGGCACGTGAGATCGCCACCATCAGCTATCGATCTGGACCGGAATGGGAACAACGATTTGGAAGAAAGCGACAACGAGAAGAACAAACTCCAGCTTTATGTCCTGATTTCCTTATAGAAACTTATTTAGATCATCAAGGGGAAAGATTTTGTTTACAATATGATCCAAATTCATTACTTTATATTTCAAAAGCAATGGATTTATTCGACATGTCAGCTTCTGTATTAGAAAAGTTCAAAAACCTTCGTTCGGAAAATTCAAAAAAATTATTACATCAACAAGAGTACATTACAGAATCACATAATGACACATGTTACATAACGGCCAATATGTCAACACAACAATATCACACATCTACGAAATCGAAAATCGACGAAAAAAAACATATTTCATCAATGGCTTCAGTGATCAATAGTGATGATTTGGAAGATTTGGTACAGGGTTTATCGGCGATACAACAGCCTTCATTAATATTAGGTGTACAATCCGATATCTTGTTCCCTAGTTGGCAACAAAAGGAAATTGCTGAATGTTTGAGAATGGGTGGAAATGGTGACGTCACTTATTATGAATTGGATTCAATGTATGGTCATGATACTTTTCTGATTGACTTAACTAACGTTGGTAGTGCTGTTAAAGGACACTTGGAGCTGGGTGGTTAACTTTATGTATGAAATATCTATGTATTACAACTTATGTATAATATACAAAAGTAAAATAAAAAAAACCCCCCAAATTTATAAAGTTTGATAATCTTGTATTTTGTCCTTTTTTTTTTTTTTTTTCTCTTTTTTCCCTTTTTTTTGCTATATTTTGAAAGTTAACAATTTTTTAATACATAAATAAACGACTAAATATATAATGACCGATTAATTCTGATTACTTTTCTAAAAGGAAAAAAAAAAAAACTGAAATTTACCTGCTTTCAATAAAATAGTCATGATTGTAATTTTTCTTTTCCGTTAAGATACCTCCCGAAAGAGTAAATTTAATATCTTCTGTGTGGACTAGAAGATCTTCCGCGTCGCCTACCACCCGCTCTATTTCTAGGTGCTCGTTCCCGCTCTCGCTCTCGATCTCGGTCCCGATCCCGGTCCCGATCCCGATCCCGATCTCTCGATTCTCTCTCAGATGTACCACCGCCTCCATTTCCAATAGGTGCTCTTATAAAAGCAAAATCACAATGTAATGTAGATCCAAGAAGCTTTGTTCCATTAACAGCATCAATTGCAGTTTTGGCTTCTTTAAATGTTTCATATTCAACTAAAGCATATCCCTACAATATAATAAATTGTTAAATAATAAATACATAAAACATTTATAGTCCTTATTGAAATCCAATATAAATTAACCTTAACAAAACCCGTCCTTCGATCTAAATTTAGGTGTAAGTTCTTTATTTCACCATAATCTGCAAATTTATCTGTAATTCCATCTTCCGTGGTTTCTTCATGAAGACCCACTACTAAAACAATCCATCCTTCGACGGCTTTAATGATAAATTTGGGAAAAAATGATTTAATGAAAGAAAATTATGATCATAAATTAAATAGTATTTATAAATCTTTACATCTATGAGCACGTCCAACAGTAGCATCTTCATCGACTGCAGATTCAAATTGTTCATACTTGTCACCAGACCTTACTCCATCTCTGGGTTCTATTAGTATATGTGTTTATGTTATTTGTGTTAGCTATTGTGTGTTAAAATTATATTTAATTCACTTAAATTACCTTTTGATTCGCTTCGAAAACCACGTCCCTTGCGTTTGATAGCTGGTCTAGAATCTAAAAAATAAATAAATAAATAAAGGTACAGATGCGAATGAATTAAGGTTTAAATAAATAGGAGGAGTCGTTTATAACTCTAAATTATATGAAATCGCGTTCAATACAAATTATTCTAATAAACATTTAACCCGTGAAAATTCTATCTATTATTGAACGACAACTAAAGTAACTAGGTTATAACAAAAATAAAGTGATAGATCTGATATGGTAAAAAAAAGGATCACTCATTGAACATACCTTCGTCGATCAACATCGCATCATCGTCTTCGACGACTGGTATATCAATTTCGTATGCTTCCATTTTATCTCTAATAATCTAAGTTGTATTGTAGTAAAGGATCTTATCACTCGTCCTCCTTTTCAGTATGATATTTTTTGTGGTTAAATTTTTGGGTTAGTATGTCGTGTAACAGCTAAATTACGTGTCAAGTTCTGTGTAACAATGCGAAAATTTATATATGGGGACGATCCAAGAAAACTTTTGCCGTAAAAGTATGGATACTCAACCTCAAGAAACTGAGGAAGATAATAATTTAACGATTCCCTCGGCTCTTCAAAAAGACAGTAATGATAGTGCTTCTAATATTATTTCTAAACAAATAAATTTAGAAAATGAAAACATAGCTGGATCAACGAACACGCAAATTGAAGATTCTTATGTGGAAAATACTAATGTTGAAGACGACGAAGACTTGGAACATATCGAATCAGATAACCAAGATGATGATGAATTATTATTCGTACAACATCCAGAAGATAATGGAGATAGTGATAATATGGTATCTTCAATTCACACAAGTGATGATACAGAGTCAGAAAACTCTCTAAACATGCGAGATGATTCTAGTAGGATGCTTGATAGTCCACCTGATATTCGTACACCTTCATCACCTTCATCATCTTCACAAAATTCCGAAGATAACATTAGCATAGAATCAATACCTACGGGAGAGTTTTCAAGTCCTTCAAATAACGATGAATCCATTGAACGGGATATACCTGTTAAGCCAGCTCCAGGTGAAACTCGTGAGCAAATTCTTGCCCCTTTGGATTTCATTGATGATTATGATGATGAGAGCAGAATTCAATTAACTCCAATTTTAACTAAAGCTATAGAGACCGATGA